CCTCTGTCCTGCAGTCCACGCTGGCCGTGTGGGTGAAGTGGCCCCATCACCCCAGCACACCGATGCTGGCAGGAAACAAGAGGCAGTTTGGCTCTGTTTGTCATCAGGACCCCAGGTAGGTCCTGCCTGGTCCAGCTGCCATCCTTGTGGGGACAGGGCTGCTGTAGAGTCACTCCCAGGCCAGTGGGTTGCTGGTTGAGGCAGCAGCTGCTCTAGAGGGGTGTGGGGTAGTGATGTCCCTACACTGCAGGAAAGGCTGATGCAGAGTGTGATCATAGTTCTGCTCACCCCTGGTCTCTGTTGTGGGCTGCCCACCTGAACAGCGGCCTGTTGTGAGCTGTGGCCATCTTCCTCAAGCCTCTCCCCCTCCTCACCTGCTTCCTGCACAACTCCCTGCTTGGGGTGCAGCAGTCATGGGCCTAGCACACCTCTGTTGAGGAGCCCAGCCAGCTGCTGTGTGCCCTGGCACACAGTCACTGTGGGCTGATGTAGAGCTGAAACCAGCTGAATTCTTGTCCTTGAGGTGTGTCCACCTGGAAAGTATCCAGTTTGTTGCTGGGCAGCTGTGTGCTCTCTGCCTTTGTGATCTCTGCTGGAAGGAGGCTGAGGCTTTCACCAGCATGGCCTTGGCTGATCTGGTCTAGTGTGTCAGTGTCACCATCCAGGAACACAGGGAGCTGGGGAATGGCAGCCTGGGCACAGGCAGAGTGTGGAAATCCTACCTGGTGCTGGGGAAAGGTATTTCTCAGGCTAATATGTGCTTTGTTGCTGCAGGGTGTGTGAGCAGCCAGCCTCGATGGAGCCCCACGAGTGGCCAGATGACATCACCAAGTGGCCGGTGAGCATGGCCAGAGGCACAGGGCATGCATGGCAGCTGCACTGTGGCATTTGCATCCCAGTGTGCAGAGCTTCAGCTGTGCTGCTGGGAGGGCAGGACCTCTGCTGCAGCTTCTGCTGTTTGTCACAAACACCAGCTCAGGGCAGCTGAGGCACTCTGCCCAGCCAGGGCTCAAAGCTCTTCAACAACAAACGTTTTCCTGTGCCAGCTAGAGCCCTGGATCCTGTCAGGGTAACAGGGAGATGGAAACCAACTGGAAACCAACTCAGCCTGGGGCTGGAGAGGAGGTGTCAAGTGATGCTCAGGCAGATGGAGTATCAGGCACCATCCTGCTGCTGTCAGAGGGAGCTGTGTCTGGGATCTGGCTTCTTCCCAAGGGGCTGTTTTGATTTTACCCAGCCAGCAAGCAAAGCTGTGGCTGTCTGACTGCAGCCTGTTGTTGTTTTCCAGATCTGCACAAAAAACAGTGCTGGGAATTACACCAACCACCTCCACATGGACTGTGTGATTACAGGCCGGCCCTGCTGCATTGGGACCAAAGGAAGGTAGTGACTTTTACCTGTGTGGAGGGGCTGGGTGTTGGGGTGAGACACGGGGCCTTTTCAGAAGGCCACACACACACAGCCCAGAGCCCTGCTGGGGAGTTGGACAGAGAGCTGTGACAGGCCTCCCAGATGGAGCAGGAGTTTGGGATGAGCAGGAGTTAACAGCCAGCCGGAGTCTGTGGCACAGCAGGGTATCTCACTCCACTGCTCCTGCAGTATGGAGGGATTTGGATACCAGTTTGGAGGGATTGAACAATTCTGCTGCAGAGTCCTGCACTTTTCCTTAGGAATGGCCAGTTTGTTCTTGACAGGCTCCAGCCTGCAGTCTCTGGGCACTCAGAGGAGATGCCAGGAAATGACCCACTCTGGGTTTGCAAAAGAGAAAGATGATGTTTTTCTCATGTTATCCCTGAGCTTGATTAGTAACCCAGTGCTTGGGCTTGGCTTTCCCTGCTAGGGAGAAAAATGTGTGCTGCCCCAAGGAGTTTCTCTGTCCCTGAAAGTCATCACCAGAATACTCTTGACATAGCCCCCCCTTTCCCTCTGCCAGCTGCAGAGGCACAAGACTCCCCCAGTCTGAGACACAGCTTCCCCAGGCTCTGGTGGTTCTTCCCAGCTCTAAACAGCAGCTTTAGGACATGCCTTGGAGCCCTGGCATGCAGGTCTGTGGAGGCTTTTCTGGAGGAGAGAAGCAGGAGGGGTGTGTGGAGAGGCACTGGGCTCAAATAGGAATGTGTTTGTGCCTTTGCTGAGACACTTCAGCACGTCAGGGGCAGCTGGAGGCATCAGTTCTCATGGATGGGATGAGAAAAGGAGAGAGGGTGGCCTGGGAGGGCACAGGAATGGTCCATTGTGCTTTTCATGTGCGACTTGTACCTCCTGCAGGTGTGAAATAACCTCCCGGGAGTATTGTGAATTTATGCGGGGCTATTTCCATGAGGAGGCAACGCTCTGCTCTCAGGTAAGGGTGTGGCTGGGGGTTGTATGGCTGCCCTTGTCCCTCCAGGTGCCCTCAGCAGCTTGGCAGGGTCTGGAGTGGCAGTGCTGCAGAGTAGGTGGGAGTCCTGTGTCCTGTCCACCCTGAGACTGGGGGAAGCTGCTGCTCCTGACTGGAGTGGCAGAGGTGGCTGCATCCTGTCCCCCTTTGGGGCCAGTTTGGGAATTGGGCTGGCAGCTGTGAAAGCCCAGCACAGGACCACTGTGAAAGCAGTGGGAGAAGGATCCAGTCTTCTCCGTGGGGGAGCAATTGCCTCAGCTCTGGGTGCTGGGGTGAAAAATGAGGGCTTAAAGCTGCCACAGGGAAGGGATGGGGTCGTGTAAATTTGTGTTAGACAAGGCTTGGGACTTGGTTCACCAGAGAACTGGGACAGGAGCTCTTCTTCCAGAGATCTCTGCAGTGTGCCCTGGGCTTGGAAAAGGACCCCTCTCAACACCCACTTCTGCCCTAGGTGCACTGCATGGATGATGTCTGTGGGCTCCTTCCTTTCCTAAATCCAGAAGTCCCTGACCAGTTCTACCGCCTCTGGCTCTCGCTTTTCCTCCACGCTGGGTAAGCAGAAGTGTAAAACTTCCACTGTCGGTGTGGGGGCACCCTCAGCCCCAGGGGATGCTGTGAGGGTTGTGGCTGTCCCTCCTGGGGGACACAGGCATGCTGAGCTGTGCTCTCTGCCAAGGTTTGCTATCCCCCCCATTTGTGTTTGTTGGGAGGGATTAGTGGCGTGGGTAAGGCCGGAGCAGGAACTCTCAGCAAGGCTGGGGACACAGCACGAGCACAGGGGTGACTTCAGTGGCTGCTGCTTCAGCTCTTGTACTCTGCCCTTGGCAGGATCCTGCACTGTCTGGTTTCAGTCTGTTTCCAAATGACGATCCTGCGGGACCTAGAGAAGCTGGCAGGATGGCACCGCATCTCTATCATCTACATTCTCAGTGGCATCACTGGGAACCTTGCCAGTGCAATATTTCTACCCTACAGAGCAGAGGTGGGTCTCCTGCAGCCCAGGGTCCTGGTAACTTGCCCTGAGCACAACTCTTCTCTACATACCTGTGCCTCTGTGGCTGAGGCAGAGCCGCCAGAGCTGGGCTCACCACTGCAGCCTTGGCACCTGCAGCTGGAAAATGGCACCACACCATCATTTAACTGCTGAGCAGCAACATCCTCCGGGGTACCATGGGCTTTCCTAGTGACTGGCCTGGGCTGGCTGCAGGAAAGACTGCCTCTCAGACGGGGGATTGTCCAGCCACAGGGTGAGAGAGGCCCCAGGCAGGCTCGGATTCAAGTGCTGTACCTGGAGTAAGACACCCTCCACATGAGAGTGGCGAAGAGCAGAGCTCACCTTGCCCACGGGAGACTGCGTGGCTGGACCTGCAGGATTCCTTTCATAAGGAAAACTACTGGTGGGTGGGGGAAGCCAGGAGATTGCCTTCAAGGGCTTCTCCCCTCTGGCAACTTGAACCAGATCTGCCTGCCCTCTTTAGACTATTCTGGCCTCACAGCTAGATCCTAAATGCAACCAGGCTCCTTCACTCATGCCACCCCATTATATGGATGAAGTTGTAGAGTCTCTTTGCCAAGAACCACTGAACAAGAGTTGAGTAAGAAGTAACAAATTCCTGGAGCTGATTGCAGAGGCCAGGCAGGTGGCATGAGCCTGACATTATCTGTAATGCTTTTTTTTGCAGGTTGGCCCTGCAGGATCCCAGTTTGGAATTCTGGCCTGTCTCTTTGTGGAGCTCTTCCAGAGTTGGCAAATCCTGGCACGCCCATGGAGGGCCTTCTTCAAGCTGCTGGCTGTGGTGCTCTTTCTTTTTGCCTTTGGCCTCCTGCCTTGGATCGATAATTTTGCTCACATTTCAGGATTTATCAGTGGTTTCTTCCTCTCCTTTGCCTTCCTGCCCTACATTAGCTTTGGGAAGTTTGATCTATATAGGAAACGATGCCAAATTATAGTTTTCCAGCTCATCTTCATTGCACTCTTCTCAGGACTGGTGATTCTGTTCTATTTCTACCCCATCAAGTGCGAGTGGTGCGAGTTCCTCACTTGTATACCCTTCACAGACAAATTCTGCGAGAAATACGACCTGGATGCACAGCTCCACTGACAGCAAAGACTGGCTTCTCGAGCAGGCCCTGGAGATGGAATGTCTTTGCATTTGCTGTGCCAGTTCCAAGGGGACAAAGCCTCTAATCCAATGACACTTCTAACCCTGCCCGTGGTTAATTTAAACTGTCTCCTTAGCACTTGGCAGGCATCGTTTGCCTTATCTCAGAAGACTCTGAAAAACAGAACATTTGTGCCTTGTTCAATTGTATTGAACCTTTTCTGCTGCCATTATTTTTATTACACTAGTTTCAATACTACATTTTTAACCAGAGTTGTTTACTACTGCTAAGGTGGTGATTAAACAGTGAGGTAGCGTTTTAGCTACTGTTGAATTGTTCTGAGTAGTCTGTGCCTATCTTTGTAACTTAATCTCACTTCTGCTGTTTTATGTACCCTGTGGAGAACCCAAACCAGCCAGATACAGATCTGCAGCTGGAAACAAGGGCCTGAAAAGCCTCAGAAAACTAGAGGGTCTCTTTAATCCCTGGAATCCACATACAAGCAACTGTAAAAAACGTGAGAATGTCCAGTCAATGGAGTTTGTTCCTCTTTGAAGTTTAACAACCTTTTCCTCCAGGAAGGTGCTGAATCCACAGTCTGGTCTTGGTAGGGCTGGATTATCTGCTCTCTCTGTTTAAGAAAGAAAATATTTGTAGGTGACAATTACTGCATGTTGGGCTTTTCTTACCACACTGCTATGATGGTCCAGGAGGGATCAGCCAGTGCCAGAGGTGACTGCTGGTCACAGGCCCCCTGGAGCAGGTGGCTGTTGTTAGGGCACACATTTTATTACCCTGGATCTTGAAAATATGGCAGTGTTGAAAGAAGAACAGTTCTTCAGGAAGAAGAACCTTTTGGTAACTGTGGTCAAAAAGGAACAGTTTTTAACCCAGCTACCTGGAGCAGCAAAATAACACAAGGCTTTGGACAAGCTGCTCTTACCCTGGTCTTCAGCCACTGTGATTGTTTTTAAAAGCATAATTTAAAACATACTAAGCCTGAGAGTCTTGGCCCCATCTTGAGTTTGTGTGCACAACTTTCTCAAAATAGCAGTATTAATACCAGAATTATGTCTGCATGAGTTAGAAACCCAGCCGTGCTCCTGACAATGATTTCCAGGCATTTAGAAAGCCTAAAAGAAAGCAAAGTTCTAGAAGCAATCATAGCAGCAAAGGAACACTGTGTTTAAAGGGTCTCAAGACAATGTAGAAGCAGACTGGAGTCTAAACGTAGAGTTACTTATTCCTGCTGCTGCTCCCACTGTTACCTGAAGTAGCTGATTTATCATTCTGTGCCCGAGGAGCACAAGTAACACTACCAGGATCTGGAAACAGGCCCCAGCCTCGTGCAGACATTCAGAAATACTCTGCCAGCCAGCAGAGAGCAGCAGCATCAGCTCTGAGCCTCAACACCAGGGCCTGGGGAAGATGAGAACTGGGAGCCCTTAATGGACATTTGGGACTTACCCCACAGGTTACTTCCGAAGCTTCTTTATGAAGCTGACCTCATCCCGGTTCCTGATGCCATACCTGAACAGAGAGTGGTGCTGTTAAATGCCAGCTGCCCAGAAAAACAATCTGTGAAACCCTATAGCTTCATCTTTCCAGGGACAGATGGACTCCTACAATCCCATGCTGTGCTCTACTACAGGACACATTAAAATTCTCACTTGTGTATGTGGGATGTGCTGCCAGCACTGAAGGATCTGCTCATCTGCCTTTAACAACCCCTTAAATGCAACATCTGTCACCCAGGCTCACTCTTCCAAGGACATTAGGGCTGTCTTGCTGGATTTTTAGTATTTCAGATGACCTTTTCTCATTGGCAGTGCCTCATCCCTTCTCGCCTCAAGAATGGGCAGGGAAACATGGGAGTCACCTGTCAGTGTTACCAGACTGTCTGAGAGGTGGCTGAGCAGCTCCAACGATGAACACCTATCCTTGGGTTTCCTCTTTGCTTGGCATTCTTCACAGAACCATAGAATGTTATAGAGTTGGAATGGACCTTACAGACCATGCAGTCCCCACACGCCTGCCATGGACAGGACACCTCTCATTAGACCAGGTTCCTCAAAGCCTTATCTAACCTGGCTTTGACCACTGCCAGGGCTAGGGCATCCACAGCCTCCCTGGGCAACCTATTCCAGTTCTTGTTCCTTGTTCTTGCCTATCCTGCACTAGTATCTGTGCCGAGCTGAGTAGCTGTAAACGCTCTGCAGGAGTTTGGGAGGGATGGCCAAGAGTTCTGTGGGTTGGTCTGAACGGGCTGAACCTGAGGAACCTCCCAAGGCCATCCTGTCCTGCAGAGCCTCTCAGTCTGCCCGTCCCACTTCTGTGCTGTCCCAGCTCCCAGCCAATTTCCAGCACAGGACCCACCCCAGCCCCCCAGCGCTCACTCAATGACTCACTCTCTCAGCTTCTTCCTGTCATCCGCCAGCTTCTCTCCATTGTAGGTTAGGTGGTACGTCCTCCATATGTACTTCCTGAGGGGAAAACACTCAGGGGAGCCGCGGGAGGGGGACCGGGCTGGGATGCGCTCCCGAGCCGCCCGCCCGGCCCCGCTCACCAGCTGAGGTGCTGGACACCTCCCTGCCGGGCCTGCCTCAGCTGGATGTGCCGCCGCAGCGCCTTCTTCAGCTCCAGCACCGAGGCGTTCTGCACCACCACCACGGCTGCGGGGCGGGGAGAGCGGGGTCAGCCCCGGCCCCGGCCCCGGCCCCGGCCCCGGCCCCGGCCCCGGCCCCGGCCCCGGCCCCGGCCGCCCCCGCTCCCGGCCCCGCACGCACGCACGGTCTCGCCGTCCGCCTTGCACACCCGCACCGTCATGGCCTGCCCGTACTCCAGGGCCACCTGCGAGCCGATCTCCTCCGCCGTCACCTGCGGGCGAGAGACACGGCCGTGAGCCCGGCCCGGCCCAGCCCCGGCCCGGCCCCAGTCCCCGGGCCCACCTGCGGGGGGAGGTCGCAGAGCAGCGGGTCCTGCACCAGCCGCGCCAGCGCCGCCTGGAACAGCTCCAGCACCTCGGCGTGCGCCAGCTCCTCGGGCGGCTCCTCCGCCGGCTCCTCGGCCGCCATCGCCGGAAGGGGCGGGCGGCGCGGCGGAACCGGCGATGCTGCTCTTCTGCCCGGCCTGCGGGAACGTGCTGGTGGCCGAGGAGGGGCCGCGCTGCCACCGCTTCGCCTGCACCACCTGTCCCTACGTGCGCAACGTCACACGGAAGGTACCGGGGCGCGGGGGGCGCGGGGGCGGCCCGGGCCGGGGGATCCGCCGTGCTCGGGGCCCTGTGCCCTGTGCCCGGTGCCCTGTGCCCGGTAACTGTTGCCCCGTGCCCCGTCCCGCAGGTGACGAGCAGGAAGTACCCGCGGCTGAAGGAGGTGGACGATGTGCTGGGCGGCGCCGCGGCCTGGGAGAACGTGGACTCCACGGCAGGTAGGGCCGGGCCGAGGGCCCGCCGGGGCTCGGGCTGCCCTGCCGGCCCCTCACGGCGTTTTCCCCGCAGAGCCGTGCCCCAAGTGCGAGCACCCCCGCGCCTACTTCATGCAGATCCAGACTCGCTCGGCCGACGAGCCCATGACCACGTTCTACAAGTGCTGCAACCCGCAGTGCGGGCACCGCTGGCGGGACTGAGGGGCCGCGGGGATGCGGCTCCTGCAATAAACGCGGCACTGCGGGCAAGAGAGCGGCTGCGGCCTGGTTGCTTTGGGGCTGGCGGGGATGGGGACTGTGGCCCGGGGAGGGCCTCATGCACACAGGGCAGGGCTCATAGAGCCGTGCCCTGCACACCGAGAAAGCCGTGTTCAAACAGATGGGCATGAAAGTACCGAGCTGAAGGATGGTGAGGAAGCAGAGGTGAAGTGTTACCACTGGGGCTTTACAGAGAGCCAAAAATGAAAAAGGGGCCTTTGCTGTCACCTGTGAAAACCCTATCAGTTAAAGCAGGAACTACAAACTATACACTGCTACTGAGAAAAGCAGAATGTACTTCAAGTAGGATCACATATTTCTTGTGTTTTAACATCAAGCTTTATTCTCAGTTTAAATACATTTAGAAGTAAAAAGGATAAATAACTTAATAAAAACATAACAGAGCACAAATTGTAACATTTAACCTGCATGAACACCCTCTTCCACAGGCTAAACCAATTTCATATGGCTCACTTTAGCCCTTCTATCCAGGGATAATCTGCACCCATTTATTCCAATTCATGTCGCAGGGGAACACCCTCCCCAGCCTGAGAGTACAGTCTATTGTGGGTTCATAGTAGATGATTGGGCTTTCACTCAGTTTGGGATTCTGTAGTTGTTCTTCCACAACTGGCTGAGAAAAGAGTGACACTGGGGATGGCTTTTTCATGTAGAATCGTCTGATGCAACCAAGAGTTTCCAGACCCTGCAAAAAAAAAAAAATCACATTAAAAAAAGAAAATGTTGTCAGTGCTGCTCTAGCTACAGTGTTCTCAGAATTGTTGGACAATTTATACCAAAAGAGCCCGTGGTTACAACACAAAGGTGAAAAGGATAAACAGCTTAATAAAAACATGCTATAGCTGGATATATCTAGTTACTTTCTAACACTTCAAGCACCAATACAGGGTTACTGACACAAAAGGTGCTCAGCAAGGGATGTCAACATTTTGGAACAGTTACAAAAAATCTAAGGCTGCTCTAGATATCAATCCCAGACTTCTGTGCCAGTCCTTGTTACTGGTTAACAGGCATATGACAAGCTCTGTCTGTGGTTTCAAAACCAGTTCTTAGTGAATTTATTGGTACAGAAGTTAGATTGAAGTTCTCCACTCCTTAAAATGTAGAGGTAATTGCTTGATTTTGTGGGTTTGAATTCACATTGCCCAGGAATCCATACTGGAACACTCAGAACAGGATATGCACGACTGGCAGCACTCCCAGCTGGCACTGTCACCACAGGGTACAAGCCCTGGGGAAGAAGTGGCACATGGACACTGGAAAATGGATTTCCAATTAGCAGGGAAGTCATGCTTTTGGGAAGGCCTGCAGGATTACTGCTCTGCTTCAGATTCTGAATATTTATAGGGAAAAAAATAAAAATCCAAGTTCCATTTCCAAAGTAGTGGCAACTGAATGTCAAGATGTGGGAACAAAATTATGAGAGACTCAAAATTTTCTTGCCACATTCTGTTTGCCATTAAGGACCTGTAGGCAGGTGTGTCAGGACAGAAGATCTGATTTACACAATGTCTAGCACTGACACATTTCAGTTTGATTCTCATGGCAGATTACCCATCTAGAAGGTATACAAGGAAAAGAAAATTAGGAATACTTGGATTATCTGTGGTGATTGGGGGCTGGAATTAGAGGATCTTTAAGGTTTCTTCCAACCCTAACTTCCATGATCCTGTGATTACTACTGCATTAACTAGTCATTAAACTAGTGGTGACAAGCCCCCACTCTTCAGCAACTGCCTGGACTTCCAGCTCCCTGTACATCCATTTCAGCAGCAAGCTCAATCTGTAAAATCAGTGACAACACAGGGAAATCGGGCTTCCCTCCTCCCTCCCTGCGAGAGTGGCTCTCTCTGGCTTTGGTTAATTCCCACCGAAGGGAGAAGGTTGTTCTTCCCCGTTTCCCTGGCCTGGCAGGGCTGTCCCTGCTGGCTGGCTGTACCTGCAGCATCTCCAGCACAGCCACAGGCTGCAGGACACCGCTGTAGTGCTGCAGCAGCCCTGCCTGTGTCACACCCGGCTTGGTCATCACGTGGTAGAGCACGGCCTCCATCATCCCCTTGCACACTGCCTTGTTCAGCTTCCCATCCACGATCCTCCAGGGCCTCCCAATGAAGCAAACGTTCTCACAGGCCCTGCCAAAGACAGGCAAAACTCAGCTGGCAGGAATTCTTCAGGACAGGTTTCTCATCGTTGCTATCTCTGCCTAATAGAAGTTCTCCCTGCATCCATTTTAACACAAATGTAAATCCTGTGGCTGCTCTGAGCAAGGGCTGGTGCTGCTTTATCACATCTGCATTTTTCACCAGGGGTTCACCCCTTTTAGCACCATTACAAACCCAGCAGCTGCCTTGGGTCTGGATGAGCAGGGAAGCTTTGTTTGGCATGAGCTCTTAATATCCTCCAAAAGTTATCCAAAACCTGCACCATGCAGAAACAGTGCTCTGATGGGAAGAAAATCCCTCATTTTTAGCATTTTGGTGTCCAAAAGACAGTCCCTGCATGGAAATTCACATTTGTCACACTGCAGTTTCTCCAGGCCTTTCCTGGGAACTTGGAAGCTGGCACTGGGCTTATTTGTGCAGGAAAATCAGTTTTGCTCCTCTGATATTTGGAGCTCATTGCTTTTTGGGTAAAAATATCTATCAGAGACATTTTTTCAGCATGCACAGGAGCACAAGGAACATTAACAGGAACAATGGAGTGGGGTTTCTCCATCATCAATGCTCACTGCTCATCAGAGCATACAACTGAGGTTTCCAAACCACTGTTTCCAGTATTCTTTTGGCAGTGCCAAGTGTTTGGGATTCTGCAGAAATCTGTTACTCACTGGTCCCTGGCTGCCTGGGAGACATCTGGCATGGAGCTTCCTGGAAAGAAAAGGACACAAATTTTCTAATTAACTCAAACTCCTTATCTAATGGAAGGAGAGTTAAAGGTGGCCAAGCTGTGAAGTGCAAGAGCTTGCTAGGAAACCACAAAAGCAAACAGCTCCACATGCTGCTCTCAGTTTTGGGGAGCTCTGAGCTGCCCCTCTGCCTGCCTGCAGCACACTCATCCCACACCTCCTCCCACAACCACATGTCTTTACTCAACCCCACTTTTTGTGGTTCCTTTCCCCAATCCCAGCAGGTTTTATTCCTAAAAATCTGACGCTATGGCTGAACCATGATGATTGTACGGGCTGAAAGAACCGAGGTTCACAGAGCAGTGCAGGATCTCAGCCTGGAGCTCTCCCAGGGGTCTGGGTAACCCAAACCTCCTGGAAATCAGAGGGAAGTTGGGCAGAACTCCAAGGAGCTGGAGACGTGAGTGCAAACTCAGGATTCCAGCAGGGCTTGGTTTCAAAGCAAAGGCTGTCTCTGCAGCTCCCATTACATTATGTCATGGGTTTTAATTAGACAATTACTTAACAAGGTATTCCTACCACACCCAGAGGGTAACAGCTTTGGCTTAAGCACATGTAAACATTCACTGGCCAGTGAGTGCTCTGTGTTTGATAACAGAACTCCTGTTTTTCCCCTCCTATGCTACAAAGCAGTCAAGGATGTTAAATCCAGGAGAGTACTTCAGTAGTTTAATTTAAGAACTGCTGAGGTCTCTGCTGTTTAGACAGCCCCAAGTCCATTTCCTGCAGGAAGGCTCCAGTTAAACAATCCCAGGCTGTGGGATGTTAGGGATCACCCTCTGGACCTGGGTTCTGGCAGGGCTTGGCAAGGTACCACAGGAGCAGTGAGCTTGTGGTTCAGTCTGAGATTAAAGCTCATAAAAACCAAACCAAAATGAAACCCCCACAACCTACTGGATGTAAAGCTTGGCAAGAACTACTAGCTATTAGAATTCTAACTGGCAGTAAAAAGGAAAGGAAAATAAAGTCCAATTGGGTTACAAATGAGGCTGTTAAATCTCACTGGCATGTGCTGCTTCCTGGTGAACGGTTTAATGAGTTTAGGACTTTCAGCCATGGACATTCCAGCTAAATGCACACCAGCAGTGCTGTGTTTTCTAGGCTTAGAGATGCCTGACCTTTGGACTGAAGCCAGAGATGAGAAACTTCCGATCCAAATTATTCTGGAAAAGTTTAAGACATGGAAACAAGTTTCTAAGGAAAACATACTTCTGGACTAGTCATTCCAACCAAAGGCATAGGAAGGATTGCATGATGTATTTGAAAACTTTGAGACTTTCCAGATGAATTAGTGTTAAGCCAATTTATCTGTGAGAGAAGACAATCTCTCTGGTACAGCTGCATAAAGAATCTAGGATTTGTTTATAAAGTGGAGCTACTGGTTTGAGATCAACTACTGATGAGCTGGTTTGTATTTCAGGGATGCAGAGGACTCTCCATACCTTTAGAGACTCCTGGGTTCTCCTGGAAGCAGGAAAGATCATCATCCTGCTCACTGGCTGATTGTTCAGGGATAGGGATCTGCTCGCTGTGCTCACTGCTGAGCTCATCGTCCTCTCCTTTGAGTTCCTTGTCCTCAGGAGATTTATCTTGTTCCTTGTAAGTGTCCACATCCACAGTCTCTGGAGCAGGCTCTGGGAATTCAGCTGGGGATTCTTTCTGCCCTCCCAGGGAGCCTCCTCCTGGAACTTCTTCACTCCCAGTAACAGCTTCCTTCCTCGGGACAGGCTCAGGAACAGCTGCACTCAAGTTCCTGCCATCTGCACTTGCCAGAGCAGGCTGTGCATCCTGGCAGAGGTGACTGTCACCCTGAGGGACATCAGTCTTACATCTCTTCCTCGGGGGCTCATCATCACTGGCACATTGTGTGTCTTTTCCCAGCTGCTCCTCCTCTCCCAGACATTCCTGTCCCTTCCCTGGCTCTGAGGGCAGATGTTCCTGGGGCACATCTGGGACAGCAGTGTCTGCCCCTGCCGGCTCAGCGTCCTCTGCTTTGCTCTTCAGGCACACTGAGCGGAGCAGCCAGGGCTTGGCAAACACGATTGCCACCAGCCTGACAGTGTGG